AGTCGGAAAGCACGGGAGATCACTTCGCCCACTGCCTCATCGCCTTTGAAAATGTCCACCGCAGTTGTGGACGAAACGTCAGGAAGAAATTCCTAAATCTAGAGGAATTGTTAGTGGGTTTTAGGAGGTGATGATTGGATTGTGAATTTGAACCGACCGTTGATTTGCGGGTAGTTTTTCCTCAAGTACTCGCGCTTCTCCCGGGTGCCCACAGTGGTGAAAATAGTGCAGCCCTTGGCCAAGCACAAGTTGATGGCGGCCTGCCCGATCCCTCCGGTCCCTGAATGAATCAGCACTGTGTCGCAGCTCCTTAGCTTCCCCACCTGCAATTGAGTTGTAAAATATCGTCTTTGCCCGGGTTCTGCGACGCACAACTTCCAAAGCATAGAGGCAGGTTGCGTAGACGACGGGCACTGTTGCGGCCTCCCTCAATGACCATCCTTGCGGCACGTCCCATGAGAGGCAGGGGTCGGCTTCGACCAAAGTGGAGAGGGTTCCTTGCGCCAGCATTCCCATCACTTTCTTCCCACTAAACGCGCGCCCTTGTAAATCTCCTGCTGATTGGGCCTTGGACTTACCTCAAGGTTTTGCCTGCATATTCCAGGCCTTGCACGCAGTCCTGCTTGCGTCTGTCCTTGGTCAACACGTCCACGTTGATTCTGCCTGAGGCCAGCATGACGTCCCGAAAGTTCAATGAGGAGTAGTAGACCTGAAACCCCAATTGCATTTGCGAGTTTCCCAGTTTTTTGCCTGCCGAAAATCACCTCCACCAGCTTTTCTTGAGCCTTCGGCTCAACGTTTCTGGTGAGCGGTCCTTCGATCCACTTGATGCTGGAGAGGTCGCCTCGGACAGTGCTGTTGGCGTAACAGTGCTCTTTTTGCACAGGCTTCAAGTCGCCTGGAGTACAGAATGGATTAGCTGAGAGTTCTCCAGCTCCAGGTTGAATTACCAAGAAGTAGGTGCCGATAGGTGCCCCATGCGCCGTTCTTGTAAATGCTCATGGCCACATCTTTGTCCAGCTGCTGCTGGTAGAAGGGCAGGTCTGGGGCGAATTCGGGCGCGCTGTCCACTATAAACAGCCCTCGAACTTGGCCGCAATCCGGTTCTCTCCTGAGGCAGTTTACCAAACCTGCAGTCGGGGGTTTAGCCGAATTGAGTCGCCATTGACCAACTTGCCTAATATTCCGTTCAAAGGTTCGTGCTGACACCACAGCACGACGTCCTGGTTGGTCTTGATGGCCTTTTTGAGCTCAGCCAGCCACCGGATTGGCCGCGACTGCATGCTGACGTTTACAAACGTTCTGGCGCGTGATTGGCTGGGTTTTCTCCTGAGCAGAACCAGCGTTTCGTCCTCGGTTTGCAGCGCACTTATCACGTCGATTGAGGGCAGGCTGGCGACTGGAGGCTGAGCGCTGATTGGTTCGCGGCTGATCAAGTAGCCGCGCTCATTGGCTGCTCGGATGGCCTGTTGCAGGATCTAAGGCTGGACTTAGTGGGAGCTGTGGAGATCGCTGCAGCTTTCTTACCAGAGCCCTGCTCAGCAGTTTGCTAGCTACCACAACGGTCTTCTCGGTCATCTCTGCGAGGCTTTTGCTCTCCACTTCGAGGTCGGTTTCGATCGGCTGAGCGCTCAGCAGCGTTATATCGGCTCTGATGAGCGGCAGGTCCTCCAATGTGGCCTTCAGCAAAGGTCCTACGAACCAAAGAGTTTTAGCGAAAAGTCCTGCCTGCAGTCCTGCAGTCTACCTAGTGGCGCTGAATCCTCTTGGTTGGCATCGTCGATCAGTTCCACTGCGGTTACTTTGACGGTTTGAGTTTCCTCCACCACGATCTGCATAAACACCCTGATGGCCTCATTGCGCGTGAGTTTGCAGTGGTTTGGCACAAACACGTACTTTTCCAGCACCGGAAGCGCGGTGATTTTCTTCCGGGGTATTGACGAAGCAGACAAGCCCGCTAGCTCGATTCCTGCACACCTGCCCGAAAAAGCCGATCAGCTTTCCGCATGGGAACTGGTCCAGTTGGCTTACTGCATCATTCCAGTTTTCGGGTTCGAGGTGATGGGAATGACGGTGTCCAGGCCGTCTTGCTTGCGCGCCTGCACTTCCTGCAGCACGATTTCGGGGTCGATTCGCAGCTTGCGAATGCCAGTTGGGACGTACAGCATCCGGGTGTCCGCCTGCAGCAGTGTCAAATGGAGGGCGTTGTCCAGGAAGGCGATCCAGTTGTTGGTCCATTTGATTTTTGCGGCAGTGGCCGCATTGTTGCACTCAACCACGCTCCGAAAAATGCCCCTAAACAGGAGATTTTATTGGATCTATCTAGTGGACTTTTGTTTGTAAAGGTGGTTTTTGTTCTATGTCGGGAAAAAGGTGAAGATCAAAGAACTTGCTTGTAACCGTATCCTCTGAGCCTCAGTTCCTTGTAGATGTCTTTGGTTTTGAGCGGTCCGCACCAGTCAGCGCCCAGCAAGGGTTGGTTTGATTCGGTGCTGTCGCTCTTATCCATTCGGCAGTATCCGGTCGCCACCGGCACGTTGCTCTCTAAAAGCGCAGTTCAGAGGACTTTCAT